TTGTTAAACTAGTGTGTGTGGATACACTGACCAAAGTCAAATCCTCCATAGATTTCTCTTCCAGTAAATTCCTTAACTTTCTGTCCCAGATTCAGATTGCCTTTTACAGCTCCCTTATGTGCATTGAAAGTAGAACCCAATGCCTGCTTGTTTTTCATCCGAAACAACCTTCAGTTACATCTATGCTAGTCCATCCTACTCTTCCCTAAATGTGTTCCTCTTTTCATTCTGAAGAAGCCATCTGAGTTCAGAGTTCTGAGGTAAACCTTGCATTTCAGGCAGAAAATCACTTTAAATCTCATTTTTTGACATGAATTTCACCCTTCCTCTCCAACATTCCGAACTCTGACTCACTTAAACAAGCTAGGTTGTAGAGTTGATTGGAATTATGAAAATTTAATGTTATTAGAGCTCAAGGACAGGACAAGAGTTGAGTCTAACAGCCTCTTTCTCTCCCTACATTGAGTCTGTCCAGTCCCGTGCAGTGTCAAAAAAGATAAAGGTTTTCCAGTACCCTTGGGCTCCTGGACTTCAGGAAGAGATGAGAAATTTCCACTTCTTAGAAAAAATAGGTACAGTGACACACAATTCTATTTGTACTCTGTGGCAAACATTTTTGGTTAATTTCCATTCTCCTTTTTCATCTCCTATAGAATACAGAATCTCCTGTATTTTGGAGACAATGAAACATGTTCAAGGGAGATGAAGTCTTTTCCCAGCCTCATAGGAAGAAGCATAATCAACTTTTGCCAAGTATGGAAACCCCATTCTCCCTATTCCATGATTAATTTGGGATTAGGGAAATAATCTAATTCTAGCCAATATAAACAAACAGTCTATTCTCAGACCTGCTTTCTTTTCTATTTTTATTTTAAAGAGAATAAAACAAAGCAAAACAGAACAAAGCAGATCAGAACAAAACAGTGCAAGCAACACAGGATTCCAAAACAAGAAAACTGGAAATTAACAGTGCCTACCATAATTTCTCTTGTTTTCTACAAAATACTTTTCCATATCTTCACACACAATGAATTCAAACACAACCAAATAGTAGAAAATCAACCAAAACAAAAGAATGAAAGCATTACCAGCCTTCAAAACCAGATAATAGGAAACTCAGCAATGGCTGACATAATGTCTTTTATTGTCTTCAAAATAGCTGTCCATTCATTCATATATATTGAAATCACATAATAAAAAACAGACTAAAACCAATCAAAACAAAGAATAAAAGTATTACTGGACTTCAAAACAAGATGATAGAAAAATCCGCAATGGCTACCATAATGTCTCATTTCTTTAAAGTAGCTGTTCATACCATCACATGTAAAAAATCAATTATTGTAAATTGTTTAGGAGAAATTCTAAGCATGTATAAGCCTATACATGTACATCTATCTTTTCTGTATTAGAGGAAAATAAAATGAAGGAAAACAAAAATATAAGAAAAACAAGAGAGAGACAAATAATAATAAGCCAAAACAATGTAGGTTTTCAAAACAGATGGTAGAAACATAACTAAGATTATATTCCATATTTATCTTCAAAAGAGCTACTCAGCTTACTAGACATAAACATTCAAAATTGATCTAATGCTATGAATGTTAACTATTTTGTTCCAAGAACTAATAGTACTAGTAGTACAACTTAACTATTTTAAGTGTATATGTACATATAAAAATTTGTATCTTTTTTTTCTTTTCCCTGAGTTATTTTTTTTTTTTTGCCTTTGAGCAGTTTCTTACCCTTTGTTAAATATTTTTATCTTATTTACTCTTTGAGTTTCATATACTAGGGAGACAATATGGTATTTACACATGTGAATTTGATTTATTTCACTTATGAGTATGGTCTCAAGTCACATCCGTTTACCTATAAAAGCCTCAATGTGATCCTTCTTTATAGCTGAGATATACTTCATTGTAGAAAAATACCACACCTTTTTTATTCATTCCTGATGGGCATTTAGGTTGTTTCCAAGATTTGACTATTACAAATTGTGCTGCTATAAACATGGGTGTACACACATCACTGTGGTATGATGTTTTCAATTCTTCTGGAAATATGCCCATAAGTGGAATAGCTGGGTCAAATAGGACTTCCAATCCCAGCTTTTTGAGGAAACCCCAAAATGATTTCCACAGTGGTTGCACCAGTCTACACTCCCACCAACAGTGCAGAAGAGTTCCTTTTTCCCCACAGCCTCTCCAGCATCTGTTATAGGTGGTTTCCTTGGTCTTGACCATTGTTTCTGGAGTGAGATTGAATCTCAGTGTTGTCTTCACTTGCATTTCTCTAATGACAGATGATGCTGAACATTTTTTAATGTGTTTATTTGCCATTTGTATTTCTGAGAATTGTGTGTTCATCTCAGATGCCCACTTTTGGATTGGATCCTTGAATTTCAAGGTCTCATTTTTAAAAATATGTTCTAGATAGAAGTCCTTTGTCTGAGGGACAATTGACTAAGATTTTTTTCCCAATTCATGGGTTTTCTTTTCAATCTGTTGGATATTTCTTTTGACATGCAAAAACTTTTTAATAAGACAGGATCTCAGTTGTTGATTCTGGGAAGCATTTCCCATGCAGTTTGATTTTTATTGTTCATGAATTCTCTGCCTACCCCTGAGTTTTCAGGATTTCTCCCTATTTTGTCTTCCAGAAAATTTACTGTTTCTGTTTTAATATTTATGTCTTTGACCCATTTTGACTTTAGTTTAGTGCATGGTGATAGGACCTACTTTTAATTTTCAGTATTTGGAAAGCCAGTTTTTCCAGCACCACTTATTAAAGAGGCTATCTTTCTTCCAGTCAAAGTTTGGCCCTTTTGTCAAAGATAAGGTGGCTGAGTATGTTTGTAGTTGTAGCTATATCTTATAATCTATTCCATTGATCTTCAGGTCTGTTTTTATTCCAGTACCATGCTGATTTTATCAGAGTAGCTTTGTAGTGTAAGTTAAAGTTAAGGATTGTGATGCCTCCTGCTTCACCTTTAGTACCCAGAATTGCCTTTTCTATTCTAGGTCTCCTCTGGTTCCAGATGAATATTAGGAATGATTTCTCTAGATCTGTGAGGTACGCTAACAGTAATTTGATTGGAATTGCATTAAATGTGTATAACGATTTTGGGAGAATGGCCAGTTTCACAATATTGGTTTGCCCTATCCATGAACAAGGAATGTCTTTCCATTTTCTGAAATCCTCTTTGATTTCTTTTTGCAGGGTATTGTAATTTTCACTGAATAGATCTTTTACTGGGCCTAGTTTTAATTAAATTGATTTTTTAAATTGATTTCTAAGTATTATATGTTTTTGGATGCTATTGTGAAGGGTGTGGCTTCTTTTATTTCTCTCTCAGTGAGTTTGTTGTTTGTGTATAGGAATGCGATTGATTTTTGAGTGTTTACTTTGACCCAACTACATTACTGAATTTGGTTATTATGTCTAGGAGACTTTCAATGGACTTTTGGGGGTCTTCTATATAGAGTATTAAATCATCTGCAATTAATTATAATTTAACTTCTTCCTTTCCTATCCCTATTCCATTTATTTCTCTGTCTTGTCTAATTGCTCAGGCTAATGTTTCTAGCCCTATATTGAATAGGCGTGGTGATGATGGACATCCTTGTCTTGTTCCTGAATTTAGAGTTAAAGCTTTCAGTTTTTGACCATTTGATATGATGCTGGCTGTTGGTTTATGATAGATGGCTTTTATCATATTGAGGTAAAGACCATCTATTTCTATTTTCCATAGGGTTCTTATCATGAATGAGTTTTGGACTTTATTGAAAACTTTTTCTGTATCTATGAAAATGGTCATGTGATTCTTATCTTTGGCTCTTTGATATGGTGTATGTTTATTGATTTTCATATGTTTAGCCATCCCTCCTTCCTGTATGAATCCCACTTGGTCATGGTATATAATCATCTTGATGACTTGCTTCATTCTGTTTGTATTTTATTGAGGATTTTTTTTTATTTAAGAAGATAAAGAAAAAAATAGAAAAAGGGTACAAGTTATACAGAATTTCAGAAAACATAAACAGTAGGAAATCACTAGTTAATAGATTACATATTGTTATCTTAGAAATAGTTGTTCAAGTTACAAAATTAAAGCATATAAAGTGGACTTTCAAACAGTGAGACTGGAAACAGTTTTGTTCAATGATCCAACAAAACTCAGTTATGTGGTTATCTATCTTATACACTTAAATATATATGCAGTTATATTCTTTAGAGCAGTTTCTTTTCCTTTCTTTTGTACAATGACAATTTTATTGAGGATTTTTGCATGTATATTCATTAGGGAGATTGGCCTGTAGTTCTCTTTTTTGGTTGGATCTTTCTCTGGTTTTGGTATTAGGGTATTTACTTCCAGGAAAGAGGGAGAATTGCTTCCCTTTCAATTTTATTAAAGAGTTTGAGGAGTACTATAATTAGGTCTTTCCTTCCACAATGAATCCATCAGGACTTGTGCTTTTCCTTGTTGGTAAGGATATAATTATATTTTCAATAGCATTAATTGAAATTATGTTATTCAGTAGTTTTATATCTTCTAGATCCAGCTTTGGTAATTCAAGTGTTTAGGATCTGTCCATTTCTTCTGTGTTATCAAGCTATGAGAGTAAAGGTTTTCAAAGTAGGTATTGATGATCTATATTTTCACAGGGTCTTAGTGATTTTGTCCTTTTTATTTCTTATTCCATGAGTTTGAGTTTTTTCTTTCCTTTTTTAAAATAATGTTGGCTAGGGTTTATCAATTTTATTTATTCTTTCAAAGAACCAACTCTTTGATTCGTTAATTCTTTGTATTGTTTTCTTAGTTGCTATTACATTCTGATCTTTATAATTTCCTCGCTCCTTTGTGTTTTGGGCTTGACTTGCTCTAGATGTTTGAGGTGTAGCATCAGGTTGTTTATTTGTGTTTGTTCTGTTTTCCTGATGTGGGAATTCACCACAATAAATTTTCCTCTGAGGACTGCTTTCATTGTGTCCCACAGGCCAAAAAACAGACCAAAAGGTCAATGGAAAAGATTAGAAGATGCAGAAACAACTCTGAACACAGTCACCTTCTGTTTGTAAAGGAACCAAATACATTCACTGGAAGAAACCTTCTTTAACAAATGGCACTGGATGAAGAGAAAAGTCAGTGCCTCCCAAGAATCGGCCATGCTAAGACCGGGAAGTTTCAACAAGAAACCAACTAGCCAGCCTTCCTGGTAAGCTGTGCAAGCTGTACGGCTTCCAGAAAGACTAGAGTCAGAGCCTCTGGTGAGCCTACCAGCATGCAGGCTGAATTGTATTTGTATTTTTTTAGTATTGTTTAATTTCTTCTTTAATTTCTTCTGTGATCCACTGATTGTTCAAGAGTATATTATTTAATTTATTTGTGTTTATGGAGTTTTTGAATTTTCTTTTGACATTAATTTCTAGTTATCATGCATGGAATAATTTTGATTCTGTTGCATTTACTTAAGCATATTCTATGGGCTAGTATATGGTCTAGTTTAGAGAATGTCCCACATGAAGCTGAGAAGAATGTACATTCTGGTGCTATTGGGTCAAAAAGTTTGTACATGTCTACTAAGTCCATTTGTTCACAAGTTCAGTTCTGATATTTCTTTGCTGATTTTCTGTCTAGTTCATCTGTCTCTTTGTGTCAATGAGGTGTTATGGTCTCCCATTATAATTGTGTTATTGCTTGAGTTTTCATATTTATTAATATTTGTTTTACTTAATTGGGTGCTCCCATATTTGGTGCATATATATTTAGTATTATTATCTCTTCCCCTTGATGTTTTCCCCTAACTTCTATGTAGTGACCTTGTTTATCTCTTCTGATCATTCTTGGTTTTTAGTTCACATTGTCTGCAAAAAGAATACCTACTGCTTTTTTAAGGGGATCTTGTTGCATGAGGTACTGTTTTTCATCCTTTGACTTTCAGTCTATGAATTTCCTTTTGGGTTAGATGAATTTCTTGTATACAACATATGGTTGGATGTTGTTTCTTTATCTATTCTGCCAGTCTGTTTCTTTTAATTGAATTGAGGCAATTTACATTAACAGTTATAACTGATATAAATTGGCTTACTTTTGTCAAGTTGTCTTTCTGCTCTTGTTTCTTTGCCTTCCCTTTTGTTTAATTGTTTTCCTTGCTTAGTGTTTTTTTTTCTGTTGTTATTGTTGGAGTTGTAGTTATTTTTATGTCTATCTAGAATATCTTTTAGTATTCTTTGCAAGGTTGGTTTGGTAGTCATGAAGTTCTTTAGCTGTTCTTTGTTGTGGAAGTATTTTATTTCCCCATCGATTTTGAAGCACAGTTTTGCAGGGTACATCAGTCTGAGTTGAAAGTGGTTTTCTTTTAGGATTTGAAATACTTCACTCCATGTTCTTCTTGACCTCATTGTTTGTGTTGAGAAGACTGCTGTGATTCTGATGGGCTTTCCTTCATAGGTAATCTATTGCTTTTCTCTAACAGCTTTTAATATTCTGTTCTTATGTTGAATTTCTGGAATGTTCATTATTATATGTCTGGATATCAATTTATTTTGGTTGTGGCTGTATCCTTCATTTACCTACATGTCAGTTTCCTTTCCCATGTTTGGGAAATGTTCAGCTCTTACTTCTGTAAAATGTCTTTTTCATATCATTTTTTTGTCACCTTCTTTTTCATTTATACCTATCAATCTTATATTGTTTTTCTTTGCATCATCTTGCAACTGTTCAATTGTTACTTCTTGATTCCTTGTTATTTTTAAAAGATCTTTCCTTTCTTGTCCACTAGCTGCAATTTTGTCTTGAAGTCTGAAGTCTGTCTTCACATTTATTGAGGCAGTTTTGCCAGCTTTTGATGGAATTTTTGATTTCCTGGATATCTTTGAATCTGTTTCATACATTCTATTTCTTTCTAATATTGTTCATTCAAGGTTTCCATCTTTTGGCAGTGTTTCTTAGTTTTTGAAAAAATATGTTTTCTTTAAGTGTGTTAAGCATTTCTTTCATTATGTTTATCATTTCTTCTTTTACCTGAGAGATTATTTCTGACCTGAGATCCTTTACAGCTTTATGGAGTTGTTTATTTACTTCAGTTGCTATCATTTCATAAGTTTTAGGTGTATAGTTGATACTTTCTTCTATATCCATGTGTCCTAGGCTTGTTTGGAATAGGCTGGAAGTTTGTGAATTGTATTTTGATCTTTCATTTTGTCATTTTTCCTGTATTCCCCTGGAGAAGCTGAATGCAAGGTCTCAGTAGCTTCTTGGGTTGAAGATGTCTGTCCATACTGCATGGAATTTTCCCAATTTAGTGGGGGTCATTAGGCAGGCCTTTCCAGGAATCCAGTTGCACTTGAAGACTCCTAAAATGTGGGGAGTACACTGGGTGGGCCTTTAGCATACCCCATGTAGTACTCTGAAGCTCCCCGGCTGCTTGAGGTTGCTGGGCAGGACTCTACCAGGTTCTGAGTGGCATGCTAAGGCTGAACAGCTAGATGGAGTATGCTATGCAGGCCTTCAGCTCATGCCACACAACACACTAACGCTCTGAAGCTGTTTGGGGTCATTGGGCAGGGTCCTATCAGGTTCCAAGTGAGGTGCCAAGTTTGCATGCTAGGTGGGGTTCACTGTGAAGGCCTTTGGCTCACTCACTGAGTGCAGGTTATTCCTAGGCCACTTGGGGACACAGTGGGGCCCAACCAGGCCCAGAGGGACTTACCCAAAGGTCCTGGGCTGATTGAGGATGCTGAGCGAGGCCCTACCAGGTTCTATGTGAGGTGCCAAGGTTGCACAGCTAGGTGGTGTTCACTGTGTTTTCTGTTCACACACCTCAGTGCAGGAGGTTTCCCTGCCACTCAGGGTCACTAGATGGGGCCCAACCAGCAAAGATGTGTTTTCTATTGTAAGAGAAACAGCAACTTCCTTTCTGCTTGACCTGACTCCAATTGTATGAGAACAAAGTACTTAGAGATAAGACAACCATTTTGTGACTACAGCACAAGAAGTCAAAGGGGAAAAGATCCAACAGTTGGAAGACACAGCTTAGAGTTTTTGATGATATCATTGAACTGCTGACCCAAATTGGAAATACGTATTTCTGGACCTCTCATTATTTGTGAAATGAAGAAAAATCCCTGTTGTTGTAACTACTTTTTCTTTTCTATTGCTTGTTACCAAACACATTTTGTGTAACTTAAATACTATCCAAATTGTATTATTTTATCTGTTTTCATGTTTCTAGGTTCTGTTTTATTGATTTTTGTATTTTTAGCATTAAATAAAAGTCCAGCCTTTATCAAGGCTGCAATAAATGATTAAAACAATATTAGGTGACAACAATTTTGAAAGTTGCAGAAATATGACAATCATGATCTAATTTTAGGTTCCATAAAATTTCAATTGCCATAACTGTTATTTTTTTCTGTCTGATTCTACTTTTATTGGAACAAAAGAATGACTAGGAAGAACCATAAAAAATGACTATACACAATAGAAACATACAAAGTCATCTGCTGGTAAATAGAAACCAAGTTATCTGTTGGTAAATACATAATGACTGATCTATTAGCTATTGCTAAGAATCTCTCTTAAGAATTCCCAGAAATTCCCATCAGCCACATTTATACCTAATCCTCTGACAATCAGTATTTTAGTGTACAGAAATCAGTGTACATAAAGCTGTGAAATATTTAAAGCAATGCTGCCTTAGAAAACCTTAGAATGTGTATTTTGTCTATGTACAATATCTTTACTGTGTTCTCTCTTCTAGATACTTCACTGTGGACTGCAGATGAAGGATAAACAAACAACCACTCATCTTTGCTTGAAAGGCCCACGAGGCCAAAACAGGGCTGATGACCCACATGGAGGTATTAACAAGTCTTAAATCCTATTCTCTCAATATAGCACAGAGCTATCACTGAGTTAATAAAGATAAAGCCGATGAAATAAAGTCTATGAAAACTTCCCAAGTTTGGTCCTTCCTAGCCAAGTTTGCTTTGGGAGGTGACTGTACTATCATCTTCAGTCCTCAAGACTTTTCCCCATTCTCCAGACCAACTCCTTGCCATGGAATCCTCTTCATGATTCACTCAGCAGAGCCTCTTCAAAAGGAAAACAAGTTTGCTGACTGGGCTGCCTTTCCTGAGTGGGAGGAGTAAGAGTAGTGCCTTGGTTACCTATGAATCATCAAAAAAAAAGAAAATACAAGTCAGACCATGCTCCCTCTTAGCCAACCATGGCCTATGAAGACCAGAGCTCTGGTGCAGAATATCATTGGCCCATCAGTCTCAAGGCCACCTCTCAGTTCCACATGTACCATAAGTGCACAAAGTCACCAAACTGAACGCTATTAAATTTATCACTGGTCTGCTTTCTTAGTTAGGGTTTACTAAAAGAACAGATTTAACATACAATATGAAATCAAGGGTGTAAGAATGCAAAGTGCCTGTCTGCATACTGCAGGGCCGGAAGAGCCAGTTGAAGATTGAAGGCCTGCATCTCACCACAGAATTCAGGATGAGTCTGTGTTACAAAAAACAAAAGGGTCTGCATTTGAAAGCTGAAGAGTCTGCACTGGAAGCCTCAAGGAATTGAAGATGAACATCTACGGGAATGACAAAGACTGGAGCTCCTCAAAGAAAGAAAGGGAAGATTTAGTTATTTTCCTCCTCATTCTGTCTAGGCTATAAGCCAGTTGGTTGGTGCAACTCACATCTGAGATGGATCTTTCTCCTCAGTTTGGTCTATGTATCAATTATCCTCAGACACACCCAGCGCTTTTGTAATCTGCTAGGTATTTCTTATTCAAGTCAAGCTGACATCACAGTGATCACATCTGCCTTTTGTAGAAACTGCTGGGAATTCATATTTCTGCCCGTTTCCTAACATATGAGCCTTCCTTTCATCTCTTAAAACATTTCTGCCCACTCTCACATCACCATGCATCTAAAGATGTCTAGCCCTCTGCTATTTTATGTATATTTGTCCTTCATCCAGAGGCATTGGTAGCAGAGCCTAACTTCTTGGGAATGCATCCCAGCTGTTTCACTTTAAAACATGGACTCCACTAATGACAACAACTTGTGGCTCAGTTTCTACAGTTGTTAAATGAAGATTTACCACCTTTTCTTCCAAAATTTCCGTGGGCTTCTAATTTATCAGTGTGCATTCCTGATCCTATCTGAACTATTTCCCACACAGACTCACATTTGTGGATCCACAAGCCTGGCCATCGTGATATTCAAGACTCATTCTTCACTTGGTCTTATATACTGCGTAAAAAGTCATCAAAGTGTATCTATTGTTTATGTCTGGATACTATGCTTCAAAAACTATTTACTTAAAATTTTTTCAGTTATGTCACAACTACTTCACTAGACAGGACTTACTTTTTTTACTCTGCTCTCCCCTTCCCTTTAAAGAATTATACATATACACTTTAATAAAAAGTAAAATAAAACAACAAACAAATGAAAATTTAAAATGATGCATGCACATTCTCAGCACCTGGAGACAATCACTGCTAAAACTTTAGCAGATGTATGTCATCTTTACAATAAAATTTATGTTAATTGTGTGCTACAATCCTTTTGATGAAATCTACCTGAAGTTCAAAAATATAATTTTAAAGTGTGCAGTCTAGTTCACTGAATGGGTATAGTTCAACTATTGAACCAATTCTCATTGTCAGAGATACACAAGGTTCCAATATTTAGAGATGCTGTTGTGAACAACTTTGGATCTAAATTATTGTGTTACACTGGCATTTCACTCAACCCAAATTTTAATTATTGACACTATTCTTTTCAACTTTCTGTGGATTTCTTGGTCTTTGAAGAAATTCAGAACTGCTTTATTATGCACTATATCTTGCAGACTTTTCCTCTAAAAGATTTACATTTTACTGAAACAAATCATGAGCTTGGCATAGCCATTTTCAAAGATGGGATGAGAAAAAAAGAAACACACTGGGTCCTGGGTCACAAAACCCATCAGCTTCAGTGGCAGGCACCATTGCCTCAGGATGTCAGACCCCTGATTTGCTGGAGCTGATGCAGCTTGGGCTCCTTGCTGTGATCACAGTGGTACTTGTTTCCTGAGTGTTATTTGTTGTGTGTCTGCTGTGCTAATGACTGCAAATTGTTAATGGCTGTGAAAAGCTAATTGTTGTGCAAGGTGTTTCTCTCTGTCCCAATTGCCAGGGGAGCACACAGTCACTGGTAGGCAGAGAGTCATTAGCACCTCTTACACAGTCCTCCTGGGAAATCCTCCTAGCAGTCTGACAAATAAACAAGCTTCCACCCACCCAGAACTAGGAAGCTTTGCACTTGGCCAGCAGCACAGGGCAGAAGGGGAAGGATTTAAGAAGCACTTTTCACAAAGAAACTAAGGAGCAGGACAATGTGTGGTGCTCTCCAACTGGAGAACCAAAGAAGTGGAAAAGATTCAGTCTTCACAGGCAAGTTACCTAAGATAATACCAATGCAGCAGCTGGAACGGGCTACATACTATGCATGGTGCTTTGTGACTTTTTCTTTCACTCACACCCCACACGCTTTTCAGAGGAGTACAGGGGACCTCAGAGAATGAGCAATTTCCCCCAAATTATTTTTATTTCAGTGGCCAGATTCTTTACCATTATATAAAAACTAGTGGACCATCTCTCAGCCTTGTTGGCATACAGTGAATGCTAGCATGCATTTGGAGGCAAGACATCCCAACACTAAATGTAATACAATATATACCATGATTAATTCATTTGCTTTTTTTGTTAAAAAGCACCATACTAGCTGGCAAATGTTCATTTCTCCTGGTTTCCTCTAAGTAAGGTTTAATGTTTCCTTTTGCTTCCACTGAAGTTTTGTATCCTAAGTTATCATCAAAAAATATTTGGTTAGCTATTTCCTTGTCCTTTGATACATGTTTAATAGTGTATTGGATGAGCCAAACAGGCACAGTAATACATTTTGAATTCGTAATGCTGCAAGTTTTGGAAACCCTTTTCCTATTTATTTAATGATCTTCTTGGAAGTAGGTTGATATATGCTTGCACGGAACTAGCACCCCCATCCCCAATTTTATAATGTCTTTCTATACTTTCCTTTTCTCAGACACTATAATCATTTGCTATGTTGTGTTAGTAATTTCATACGCAAAATTGTGCTTCCACAATTATTTATGTATGACTTTATCAGAAATCAATTCAATTGATGGCAACAGAAATTAATGAAGAATCTATGTCTCAAATTGCTATAAAATGGTTAACTGCAATTCATCCTACAGATTCCTGGTGAAAACAAAGCAGTGGGGGCCAGTCCTTGGGGAATGGCAGTCTGCTAACACAGGGTAGGTGGAAACAACAATTGAAAAGCAAAACACTGTCATTTACAGTTGCAGAATAAGTTGCCAGGGCAACGCAGAGACTGAGTAAAGAACTAGCCTCACCTGCCATCCTTCCAATCTTCCCCCCTTGCATCATTAGCTTAACAGGGATAGCAGATACCTTTATTGGCTTGGCTATTAACAGGGCAGAGTACTGGTATTAAAGTTAATGTTAAACTCTTGACCACCTTGCTTGATTCAATAATGAGACTTGGTTGAGTAAAAAACAGTTTATACTTCTAACTCCTCAGGAAGTGATATGTGCTAATTATGGCTGATAAATTATTCCTAACTTAATTATTCCAAAGATAAGATTTAGTGCAGTAAAAGAACTTGATGCAAATGATGTTATCAAAAAAGTTAAAAGAGAAAGCAAAGGAGATGGCTCATAGATGGCAGAAAATAGCCCCTCTAGAGTCTGCCCTACTCGAGTCTCAGTCTGCAATGCATTATCTCAACTCAGGTTGGACATCATAGAATATACCATCATTCCAGTTGGTCATCATGGGCCGGAGCAAATGCAACTTATTTCTAATGGTGCTGAGCTTACCATTGCCAGCCAGTATACTCACCCTCGAAAGGATAGTATCTCAGGAGACATGGAATACCTTCCTCCACCAGATGAGCTCACAGCCAGTAGAGATGCAACAGTTTGCAAATGACATTTGTATGTTGACTACATCTTCATGCTTTCCTCTTCTTAATATCTGGGGAAAAGCAAGACATCTCCTGATTCCCAAAAGAACCTTTTCCTCACATCTGCCATATAAATAAGAACAATTTGGGAGAAAACCAATGATCATTTTCTCCGCAAGATCATGCTTTTCTTGAATTATTTTTCTTGGTAAATTTTATCCATCTTTTGTCCAAGGAGGAAACACTTTGCTTCCCTTCAAGGCTATTATTCAGCTTGCATGTCTAGTAACTCCTTCCTCTTTAACATTCCATGCGTCTTCTCTTCATCATTCTCACCTGTCCTCCCCTAGCTCCAAATACTCTCTCTTGTTTGAATTTCTGCAGTAGTTACTCAAAGGTTAATTTGCCCTAAGCTTGACAGCCTCTATGTCACAACATGAATTTTGTTTTTAAAATCCAAATCTGGTCATGGCTCTCATTGTTAAAATATCTGGCAATTTTCCAGGACTCAGAGTGTTTAGTTTAACAGAAGCAAAATGTAAAGAATGGATGTTTTATGCATCTTGCTCTAGAGGGGTACAGAAGACTGTGAACCATGGGTAGATACCTCATACTGTACCACTTTCTGCAGTAGAACAGGGAGGGACTAATCAGACACAAGCTATGGGGCTAGACAGAAAGATTGGGCTTAAAACAGCCAAAGTTCAGATGAGAAGTTTCTCTGGCTAGGGTTTAGTACAAAGTGAATGTTTGTATCATTTCAAAATTCATATGTTGAAATTTTGATATTAGGAAATAGAGGTCTATCAAAGTAACTAGGCCATGAAGAGGATTCTCAGATGCTCAGATTCTCTATATGCTATTTGAGGTTGTAACAAAAAGTTGAGAGACGACTGTCACCAGAACACAGCCAGTCTCTTTCTGCCTCTAGATGAGAAACAAATTTAGTTGTTTATAAGCCAGCCAGCATATTTTGTGTTATGATGGCCTACACCGAGACAAGTTAAAAAAATGTAGGGTAACAAATTAAATTTGAACTTCAGAAAAACAATGAGTAATGTCTTAGATTAGGTATGTTTCATGTAATAGTTATTTGTATGAACTTAGTTTTAACTGGGTATTCTGTATTTTTACTTGTTAAGTCTGGCAACCTTTATACCAAAACATTAGATTACAGAGTGTAGGATGAGGGAAGCTCTGGAGAGAGTTGGGAGAAGAAAACTAAGATCCTATACAGGGAAAAGAATTTTTGGTTAAATATGGCAGATAAAAACACAGGTCAAACTTTAGGCAGAAAAATCTCACAACAGATACTAACACATGTAACATGAAGGAAATGGGAATAGAACATAACCATAGATAACATATTTCAAAAAATTTAGGAAGATTGAATGTTGGAAAATAATATATAAATGGTAACTGACAGTACAGTTGAGAAAATTTGATAGGCAGAGAAAATGATTTAAGGATAAAAACCTAGAAAGGCTCAGGCATAAGGAGTCCCTGGAGCCTCAGAAGACTTTAAGGCGAAGGGATACATTGAAAGTCTGTACCAGAAACCAGTAACACTCAGATAACCTTCCTTGCCTCCTGCTTTGAGCAGATGAGAGGTTCACTGGGGAGTGTGAACCTGAGTGGGCCCAAAGGTAAGCACATCAGGTCCAGAAGGGAATGAAACCCTGTGCTAAAAACAGCATAAACAGCATAAAGTGGGGAGTGAAATCCCTACTCCCATACTTCTCCTGCTGAGTTTTTAGATTGCTGACATTCTAGCTTAAAGAAAAGCCTATTGATATTTACAAGCAATTCACCAGGAAAATTACTAGGTTCCTAATTGATCTAAGCAACCCTAACCATCCAAGTGATCTTCCATTCAACTTCCCAGTGACACATACTTAGCCAAATACAAATAGCCAAGGATGGGTGACGTTAGGGGAAATGCCTGAAATGAGAGTGAGACAGACAAACAGAAAAAATGTTACTTGGAGGAAAGAAAGGACTCATAAAAATATCAAGAACATTATAATTTATTCTTAAAGAAAAAATACTTTGCACCAATGAGACAATGGGATGTTATTTTTTAAATAAAGGACATCCAAAGCAAGAAATAAATAGGAAACTAAACTTATCAGAAGTTACATATGCAGTAAAATACTCGAATTGGGAGAGAAATCTTAGCACAAATAAAGAGATGGATAACAGAAGAGAAGACACACATATAAAAGGATAATTCTGAAGATCAAACATCTACCCAGTAGAAATTCCAGGAAAAAAGAAAACAGAAGAAAAAATAATTAAAGAAATAAAAACATGCATTGCTATTTTGGAGAGGTCCATCAAGTACTTAAAATTATGAATTGAAAAGTAAGAGCATAGCCATGTAAATGTACTCAATGCCACTGAACTGTAGACTTTAAAATGGTTAAGGTAGTAAATCATGTGCCGTGTATCTGACCACACTGAAACAATAGTAAGACAAAGCACATCAAGGTGAATTACTAGGAACAAAGCGAGAATCTAAAAACTCTGTGGCCAGTTGAGAAGAAAAATTTCTCATATATCAAATA